ATTCTAGAATGATCAGTACATTGATCAATTGAAGTGAGTGACCATCCAGATTTAAAGATTTGTTATTTTCTCCATACAACTGTTTGGTACAAGAAAGTTGGTTACACTGGAAGTACAAGTGACATTTCAACTAACTTACAATAATTGGGAATTTTGTAACAAGTATTATGTTAGGAAAAAGATTCTTTGACATCTGTCTAGTATCTAGGTAACCTTTATAATTCATATACACATATGTATATACATAATATATGTATGCATGAATGTATATATGACCTAGAGTACATTAGACATTTTTCGAGAATATGTTGTACTATATAATTCAAGATATCTATATAGGTATGAACATTTAGGATATTAGACGTATTTTGAGTTATCGAATAATATTTATGCTTTTGTCAGACATACAAAGCTGAATGTTTTCGGGTAAATGAGCGAACAAACATTAATACTATTCACATTTCGACAAAAGTAAATGTATATTGTTTACAAAATAACTTAATTTCAGTGATAGATGTAAGCTTTTGATACCTTTGTATGTAAAGCGTTCATTTTCTTTTCCTTTACGTACGATATTTGGATAGGTGGAAACTTCAATTAACTTTTTATATATGTATGTACCATATGATACAAAAGTACTGCAGTTGTTAATAAAAAAAATGAAATAAATATAATTTATAAGTACGCACAAACTCTACATATATATTTTTTTTAAATTTGTATTTTTATAACTGTTTTTAAGTAATAATTAAATCTGATATATCTACGAATTTCATTTTACAATTTATTTAAATTCAGAAACTTGAACAAATAACTTTTAATGAGCAGTGGCTTCCGCGCAGCTAATCTGCAATAGCGAAACTACGGAATCTGTAATTTTTGCGCTGCAATATACTCTCCGCAAAATAAATACGTATTTCAAATGGAAATCAACGTTTCTTGTCAAATAGGCCGACTGTGTTTTTTAAAAGAAAAGCAGCCGCCGCATTTTAATTTATTCTTGAAAGAATAATTGCAACATGGCACAGCCAATCAAATTCGATATTTCTCTTTAATTTAAATGGACATCTTTTCCGCTTGTTAACCGGGCCAGAGAGAAGCGTCTGCTCTCGGTTACTCACTTATTCCGTGCTCGGAGCTCGGAGAGTAATGGCCGCGCTGTGTCGTGTCCGTTTAGGTCGTTTCTCTATCGTATAAATAAAAAGTTAGTTATTAAACCGAGGTGCCAATAGATGTTGATATCGAGTGTGATGTAATTAAATGTAAGAGCCACGAGGCCATGACGGAAAGTAATTTGCTTTCGCTCTTCCCGCTGTAGAATTAAAGGAAGCTTCAACCACTTTCGAATCATGCTGGATATCATGCGGCGTCGTTAGGACAAAGTTAGGTAGGTACTTATCTGCTTATCACAAAATTTTAAGTACCGATATTAATTAGTAGACGACGTAAATGTGATCAAAAATTAAAAAAATTAGAATAACAGGATATTGTAGTATTATTTGGCATTATTGTGGAATTTGTTTTTGGTGCATCACTTAACCTCTAATAATAAAATCTTTGTCATTTGCAGATAAAATATCCGTAGCTGTACGTCAAATTAAAAATATATATTTTTTGTCCAAAAAAAACAATAAAAATGGCGCCAGTACCTCTAGAGGGTCATCAGACTCCTGTCACAAATAACATACCGCAGGAGGGCAATCGTGGTGGATCTATCTCCTTGGGCATGCTCATAGATTTTATTATACAGCGAACGTATCACGAGCTCACTGTTCTTGCCGAACTGTACGTACAAAATATAAATTTGGAATATCAACAAGTATACTTAAACATTTTACAATATGACATTTTTCTATTTTACATCTTTGACTTGTCTCGTTTAGGCTACCTCGTAAAACGGACATGGAACGCAAGATTGAAATTTATAATTTCTCCGCTCGAACGAGGCAACTGTACGTCCGTTTGTTGGCACTGGTAAAATGGGCGAATAGCGCGTCTAAAGTGGATAAATCTACAGTAAGACATACATTTTTCACACGTCTCATAGTCACATAATTAAAATGTGCAATCTAATAATTTGCTTTTTCTTCTTTTTTAGCACATAATGGCGTTTTTGGATAAGCAGTCATTGCTCTTTGTTGATACCGCGGATATGCTGGCGAGGATGGCTCGTGAGACTTTGGTGCATGCTAGACTTCCAAACTTTCACATTCCTGCAGCCGTGGAAGTACTTACCACCGGGACATACGGCAGATTGCCAGCTTGCATTCGAGTGAGTATGCGTGGAAGAAACTAATGGTTATATATTAAGAAATATGATCTGAGGAATCACTGTGTTTGAACAGGAGAGAATAGTGCCTCCGGATCCCATCACTCCTTTAGAAAAGAGAAGTACATTGCAGAGATTGAATCAAGTCATTCAACATAGATTAGTCACTGGAAACCTGCTGCCGCAGATGCGTAATTTGAAGGTAAAATCCGTGATGAGACAAACGTGAATTCTGTTAAAAGTTGCAGTACGATTTTGTTGAAAGAAAAAATCTCATTATTTAATCACATTAAATTCAATTTACTATTAATGTTTAGATCGAGACTGGAAGGGTGACGTTTCTTGTCGAGCAAGAGTTTTCGGTATCTCTTACGGTTATGGGTGATGGACCGGCAGTTCCATGGAGACTGTTAGAATTGGAAATTTTGGTTTCGGACAGGGAGACCGGAGATGGAAAAGCATTGGTGCATCCTCTGCAAACCCGATATGTACACCAGGTCCGTCACGCAACGTCGAGTTAAATATAAATTATACCTTACGATGTTAACGGATGGAATTGTTTTCTACGACAGGTTATTCAATCGCGATTGGCTGAAAGTACTAATCCACTATCGGAGGTGTATCATATTCTGCATTATTTCTGTCAATCGTTACAATTGGAAGTTTTGTATTCTCAAACGTTAAGACTGATTCGGGACAGATTGGACGATCATATCCATGTAGACGAATATACGCCTGGCAAATGTCTTTCCATTTCTTATTGGAGGTAAGAATAATAATATATGCCTAATAATACAGCCTTGATTAATAAATATAAAGCATTCTCATAAATTGACGCGAACGTTCTGTATCTAACGAAAAATAAATTAAAAGGTTTTATTGAAAAATAATTACTTTTATATTAATTTTACTATTTTATTAGTTCTCCTTTGGCTTTTATTACTGCCTTTTCCAAGAGAATGCAATAAATTGTTTTATATTTATGACTAAAACTGTATATTTAAAAGGAATTTAGCGAAAACAATTTGTATATTTGGATAATATTTATATCCATGTATGAAATATTTTCAGGGAATTAACGAGTAAAGATCCGCGATCAGAGCTTGGATATAGATTGATCGTTCAAGTAGATCAACACGATCCCGCGAGGCCCCTCGCAGTTGTGCATATTCCGTCGCTGGGCAGTAAGGTAAAAAAAGCAATACACTTGTGTTTCTAAAACATAATATTATATCGCGATAATATGTGATGCAGGAAAGCGAGATAGCACATAGAGCCATCAGATCAGATCAATTGTCGATGGAATGCTTACTCGTGCACACCATCTACATCCGCACGCGAAGTCGTTTATCCGAATTGAAGCAAGAGCTGCAAACGATGCTGAAAGACGTTGAATGTAAATTAAGAATATTTTTTCTCTGCCACTTACTCTTTATATTTGAGGACGAAACGAAAGACATTAATTTAAATAATATCTCAGGTATCTTGTCGGGATCGCCAGCTATTCTGTCAGTACCCATATTGCAACCGTGCTTACGTGCGGAGCTCCTGCTGGTTACAGTCGACACTCACACCGGTATGCTACAGTGCCACGTACCTCAGTATGACGCACCACTTGTTCCGGAATTAACGACTGCCTTGAATGGGGATCATTCGCGTCTTCCGACACTTATATCTGAACTGAGGTACCAGTTGTCGTGATACTTGGCAATTTTCCTCGTGGAAATTCATTTCCACAGCATACTTAAGAGTAAAATCGATTTTTTACGCGACAGATTTTGGATAACGCAGAGACGTTGCGAGAAAACGTTGCAGCATCTTCCGGCTACCTCGCACGAGCGTTTGCCCGTTTTGCATCATCCAGATCATCCTATGTCTAAGATCAGTCGACATCGGATGTTCGTACAGTTGCACCGACATCCTGCAGTCATATTGGTACATATCTTTATTAATTTAAATAAATTTAATAATTTAAAATATACATTATATGTATATATGTTATGTTTGTTACGGAGATTTATGTGTGTATAATATATATATGTACTTTATTCTAGATTGTCGCATTCAAAGAGAAAGAAAGTTCGCCATGTGAAATAGAGTGTTCCTTTTACCTCGCAGTAGTGAAGCACAGCTCCATTGAAGACGATCCACACGATGATAGCATAGAAACGGAGATACCGAAAATGTATCTGAAGGTCCAGAGCCTTATTGAATTTGACACATTCGTGATTACGCACGGTCCATTTACGAGTGTCGACAGTGGTGAGTAGATTTATACAAGTTTTATATTACATCTTGGAGCAAGGATAAGTATAAAAAGTAGACTGATATCTAGCGTCTATTAAATTACGTATTTCGTTCGTTTTTTCTCATTTTTTAAATAATTGTCATTTTTTTCCTTTCTATTCTTAATACTACAGACCTTCCTCATTCTAGACATTAGATATTAAAGTAAATAGCTCCGATAATAATTAACGATATTATAATATCGTTGTTCATCATTAAATTGTTACATGGATAAGTAAATTATTTATATAGATATGTATGTGTACTTGTATATAAATTTAGTTTATCGGTATACTATTACTACTATTAGCATGAATACGTAAGTAAAAGATGTATGTTGTATTGTATAATTGTAGCTTGTAATACAATGTAGGATTAATCTCTATTATCTTATATGAATGTTTCTTTACTAACAATTTCCGGCAACTTTTAATCTTTTTTAACTGCTAGTAATAGGTATAAGTATACTGTATGTATTATACAGGATGATTTTTATTTATACGTCAATAGACCAGATCTGAAGCCTTGTGTTCGCGATGCTAAAAATCGTACCGAGATTTCGGATGGAGATAGAATCACATTGTGGTTGAATTGTTCAAACGTGATATGTTTATTCTTTCTTTATTTAAGATTTTAGAACGATTTCTAGAATCGTGGACACAAGGCTTTACACCAGGCACAGAGAAACGTTTAACTTGCAAAACTAATATTAACATATAATTAAACGATTAGCCATTTTTATATAATTAACTGTGTTATCGAGCTGTCTTAATTAATGTAATTGTATGTCACGCAATGCTCTCGTATTAAGTACATGTAATCTATTATCCTGCTTGAGAATGTTAAGGCTAATTTTCTCACTAACTCTACTAATATAGCCATTTGCTATTGATACGCAATATAATACAGTTGTACGGATAATAATTAACATCTGGCATCGTTCAGTGTGGTATCGGCATACTGCTCTGTTACTTTTAGGGGGATTAACGGGTGGATTTTTTAGGGAATAATGATCAAGATGGGGGGTGCATTACAGAAGTGGTGGAGACGACCAACAACAAACGTAGAAGCACCGGGGTCGGAGGGAGGACAGACACGGCAGGCACGCCACAGAATAGACGACCAAAGCATCCGGCTTACTTTATTCCGGAATTGGCGCACGTTGTCGCTTTGTGCGACGAGCGAATACCATTCGTAACTCTGGCACAAGAAGTAAGATTTTACTTTCTCTCATTGATTCTTGTACATAGCGTATCTCCCTCGTTAAGCAAAGTACGCTACGAGATATCCTGTACACGATGACGAATTGTTCCGCGTTGCAAATTGTCTTAATTTAATATTAATACGTAGCTCACTAGACGAGAGATAGCCCATCAGGGACTCCAGGTTGAGGCGAATGCCACGGCATTGGTGCTTAAACTCGTTCAATTGCCTGCGCCATTGCCGAACATTGCCACGAGCAGTGCTTGGCACGCTCTTCTCAAAAGGCTCCTGAGTGTCTCGATTAGAGTTCAGGGGAAGGGCATGGCTAAAACCTGGACGGTGGAATTTGTATTTTATGGTAGTCCTCTCTCCAGCAGTCATCCCAAAGAGCAAGGTATCGATACTGTTTCTCTGTGTAATAGTCCGTTCATCATTAATGTATTTTTCATCATTTTTTACAGTTTATGAATTTAACAATGAGGTATTACTCGCCAATAAGTCTTATTTCTTTTAGTTATTTTATATATTGTTACATTTTCAAAAATGTATGTGTGTGTTATTTATATATGTAATGAAAATGTTTCCATTTTAATTTAAATAAAATGGAACAGCACACGTAATTCCCGTTGATTAAAATCGAATTTTTTCTCGTGAGCAAATAAAATACACTGTGTCTCCTACTTGTTTTAATGGAAGTTAATTAGAGTACCGGACAGGCTTCAACAAAATTCTACAAAATTCTTACAGGCTTGCGAAGACCAGTCTATTTTCAATATGAAATGGGTACAGCCGACACAGTCTCCCGCACTGTAGACGCGTTACTGAATGACTGGGCACAGATAGTACATTTGTATTCGATCGTTCACGATTTAGCTGAATATTTCAAAATGGGTGTGTTATACAAGTTGCATTGAAATCTCATGCAAATCATTATGTAAATTACTTTCTATATAATTCGCGACGTGTTTCGCTTCCTTTATTCCAGAGAAATACAACTTACGCAACATGGTTAGCATTAAGTCTTATAGCTATAGCAAGCTGGCTCTTGCGTACGGTCCAAATCAAGGTGCAACTGTCACTATACAGTGGAGTACAAATGACAAGGCGTTCAAGATGGTATTTGGCAGAAGTAAGTTTTCCGCACCGATGTCAATTTTCGAGCGCTCTCGATCGATTGGATTTAACTGTTTAATGGCAAAAGGCCTCGCTTTTGCGTTCGCAGGTCCAACGAACATGGTGACCAATGCGCATTCCATAATGAAGGAACAGCTAGAAGCTCATTTGAACAGACACACGAATTTGGCACAAATTATTCATATACTTAACGAAACGCTTCAGCCGCTCACGTCGATCAGTAAATTACCGTCGATCCCTCAGTTATGCGTGCATGCGGTAAGTGCACGCGCGTACCTACTTTTTTTCGGTGCAGATTCACACCTAAATTCCTCTCTACAGAGACCACGGGTGCCGGTGCAAACGTTTACCATAATGCCGCAATGTGTCACTTTAGTAAGGATAGCGTATCAAGGAATGTATTGTTTGGAATTGCGTTTGCGCGGCGGGGGTCTGGTGAGCTTACGCGACGGTGCTTACAGCCGCTTCGACAGAAGTAACGTCGTCGACGAGTTCACGCCTACGCAGGGCCTGAAGGTAAGGGATACGAAAGAAAAGCTCGATAATCGAATACTCGAAGAGTTCGTTCGAAGCAAACATGTTCGTATCGTCGCAGGCATTCCTGTCGAAATACGTCGACGAGAACGCGGTATTTAGGAGGAGATCTCAATCTGAAGACGATAATCCACCGTCGCCTGTCACTATGGACAGCGACGGTGCCACGGGCAACGTCGGCTTCTTAGGCCATCACAGAAGCGGGCCCCAGTCGCCCGCCCAGCAACGCGAGGGTCTGAGATTTCATCCACCGCTCACGCCACCGTCCGGTAGTAATCCTCACACACCGGCCAGTCCTCATACTGCAAATATAACTCAGGTAGATTGTCCAGCTGAGATAACCGTTGTGCCTTTCTAGATTTCTGCCCTTCGAGAAACGCGCTTTACTTATTATTTTGTTAGCATGGAATTTGTCCTTTTAATTTTCGTTTCCATTACAGACTATTTTCATACTCAAAATTGTCAACGCTTATATAATGAGTCATTTGATTGAACTAAAATTATTTTTTTAGGCAAATCAACATCAAAGTTTCAGTCCTGCAACTTCGTTTAATTTAGCATCTCCGCCGTCGTCGTTACCGCCAAATACACCAAATATGCTACCGCATCCGTCTCCCGGATCGGGACTCGTTGCGAATAGTCCTTTAAATCCGATGCACGTTCCCAGTCCGGCTGGTCTCATGCCGACGTCGTCGCCTGGGCCTTGCAGTAACGTACAAGTCGGGCATTCTCCTGCTGGTTCATTCATGCAAACAGGTACGCGTGACAGAAAATTTATTTATTTTTTATCTTTCAAGATTTCGTCAGTTTGTTTTTCGTGAATTTTATGACTAGTCTTTTTCTTTGTCTTAATCTTACAAAGAAACACTTTTGTTGCATCAGAAGAAAATAAATGCAAGCTAGAATTGATGATATTCAGTTGAAATTGTAACGTTATCGAATCGAAATGAATGAAAATGATGAGCAAGACAAACCCATCTTTATGTCAATGTTAATAATATATCGATTTTCAGGTCATATCGACGGAAGTCCTTTTCCGGCTTCTCAAAGTATGGCGTCTCCGGCTGCTTCCAACTGGCCTGGATCTCCGAGTGTACCGAGACCTTCCCCCGCGAGACCTGGACAAAGCCCGGGACACGCGGCGCTGCACAGTCCACAAGCCTCCGACCACAAGACCGGCAGTCATATCTCCAGGGTGTTACCACAGAGGTCCTGGGCGGGCGCCGTGCCGACGCTTCTCACGCACGAAGCCCTGGAGCTGCTTTGTTGCCCGTCGAGCCATCCGTCCAACTTACCGGGTCCGGAGATGTCGCCGCTCGAAAGGTTCCTCGGTTGCGTCTACATGCGAAGGCAGTTGCAACGCTTTATCCAGACGGACGATTGCGTAAGCGAACTTGCGTATAAATCATAACGTAATTTTGCCTCCAACAAACTACTATACGATTAATATCGACTTATAGCTCTTTTCGAATTCGTACAGAAAAAAAGGTTTAATTTCTTGCAGTTATTACATTTGATTTATCCGTAAATACGTGTTAGTTTTGTTTATTAGGCATGATTAGAATATATTATGATAATACCTTTTACGAGATCGCAGTCAACTTTGAATGCTATCAGTAAAGTAAATGTATATATATAATATGAATTTTACACGTATATGTATATATTGAATTATACTATTATAGTTAACTGGTATCAATGCGGAGCCCGGTGTGGTACATTTCAAAGCCGAGAGCTTGCAATGCAGAGTCGGACTAAATCCGCAACACTTCCAATCTCTTCACATCAAGGTGCTTTCGCTCCCCGAATACAAAGATCAATGGAGCGTGGAAGAGTTACAGGTAATCAAAGAGGACGCCTCGCGTGTATCCATGCGATTTGCTCGAGCAAATGCAATGAACTTCGTTTTATTCGCAGATTATCGAGAAGTTCTTCGACACGCGGGTAGCCGCCCCGCCCTACAAACACAACACGCTGTCCGGTTTCGGGAGGATGCTTAACGTACGTTTCAAAGTATTGAAGGACTTCGTGCAGATAATGAAGCTGGACCTGATTCCCAGTCTTGCGCAACAGCAGCAGTTGAAGTGGTCTGTGCAATTGTGCTTACGTATCCCGCCTTCCGCCGGGCCAATCGTGCCACCTGGCACAGAAGGCGTGCACGTTTGCAGGAGTAAAATTCTATTTTTCGTGAGTATCACTATCGTGTTCTCTACGTCGCCAAAAGTAAACATCGAGTAAATTTTTTTTTTTATACTATACATCGAAATTTTTTCGAATTTCATCATTCTGATATATTCATAATATATTTAGTGTGAGATCAATGACGATATTCTAATTTTATTTCTTAAAAGTCATTTTACAATAATTAGAAATTGATGAGAAAAGTGGCTCTCGATATATAAATCATATATGAATGATAGTTTTAGTAATTTAAATACCAACAAAATTCGCCAACTAAACATTTTTACAGAATTTGCTTATGCTCAATCGATCTTTGAGTTTATACACTTATTTTTGCAGTTGCAAATAACGAGGAATTTAGGTATATCGTATCAAGGAGATATTCCGCCGTCCTTAGTGTTGCCGTTCGTGTACGACGTCACTACGAATTTAACGCAACTGGCGGAGAGAAGGGATCTCAGTCCACCTCCGCCGGCGATTACAGCGGCATCCATGCAACTGAAGAGATTCGCCGAGTACGGTGCGAATCAGTCTGAATGCTCGCTTTTCCCTGCTGTACGGGATCTTCTAGCCAATTTCACATTACCGTCGGAACCGCCGGTTATACCACAGGTGATAATTAGTAGACTTATTAGACTTTAAATCAAAGAAATCATAAGTGTCGTTTACTGTAAGGCTATTATATCATGATGCCAAAAGTAAGCACCGAGTAAATTTTTTTTTACACTATACATCGAAATTTTCTCGAATTTTATCATTCTGATGTCATAATGTACGATATTTAGTGTGAGATCAATGACGATATTCTAATTTTATTTCTTGAAAGTCATTTTACAATAATTATAAATTGATGAGAAAAGTGCCTCTCGATATATAAATAGTGTATGAATGATAGTTTTAGTAATTTAAAATTCGCCAACCAAAAATTTTTACAGAGAACTAATAAAAGACTACGAAATTAATTATGCCTCTTTGTAACAGGTCGTGCCGTCCCCCGCGGGAAATCAAGTAGCTTCCGCGCAGCAGATTCAGAACACGGCGATGCAGATGCACTCGCCGATGACTGGCGGTCAAGGCCCGCCACAGGGACCATACGGAATCCAAGGCATGCAACCGATGGGTATGATGGGCGGCCCGCCTCAATAGGACTTGCTTTACTCTCCTAATCCCCTGTGTTTACCGAATCATCCTACATGGATGAACTAAAAATGTAAACTTCGACTCGAAGAATTCGCGGGACGGATCTGCCTGCGCTATTCTAACGTGAGAAGATTTACATTTTGGGGTATTTTAGGAGAGAAAAAACTGTGGCGTTCGCCTTCGTTTGCGTTTAATCCAACGAAGATGAAAAAGTGAATAGCTGATAAAAAAAGGTATTAGAATGTTTTTACTGTGAGTGACAACCTCATGTTTGATACTATAAGCATATACGCTTTGTATTTTAACATCGCAATCGGCAAATTCTACCACTAAAGCGAATATGCTGAAACGAATGTATAAATTGTATCATAAGAATTAGAAAAAAGAATTATAGTAGAATCATCATTTGATATAAATTAATTTAATCGAAAATTACTGTAACTGTATTGTACTTGCCAAATAACAATTCTTTTTTTATTTACATTCTACTTTATGTAAAATAACATTGCTCGCTGAAAATCTGTATAAAAAAGTATAGAATACAAATCTATTTGAGGTTTTTGCACGAATAATTTACTGTTAATGTGAATACAAAATGAGATTTCATGATGTTGCAAATAAAAGGTATTACAAATATGTGAAAAAAAAAACAGATGTAAAAATAAGTATATTTCTTAAATATATTCAGGACGAGTCCACGTACTATGCTTTTCAAATAATATAGTATGTGAATAACGATTTTATCATATAGTTTATATACATATAAAAGTTGCATATTTTATAATCAGCATACTTGATTATTTTACGAATAAGTTATCGGCATCTAAATGTAATGTTTGTATCGAATTAATTCAAATATCTCACACTTACATCCACCTTCGAACTATGTCGTAATTTATTTAATGTGGATAAATTATCATTGTTTATCCAAAGATGGAACAACCGACCCTTAAAGCATGGATTTTGTGAATCGATTTTTTATGTCTCCGCAATCGTTTGCCCGGAAGTGAGTCGATAGAAGAAAACAATTCGCATTACACATTTTATCTGGCATTTATGAATAATATATATAAAATTTTTATTTTGGTTCTGTGTGTATACAGCTTCTCTTCTTTTTTTTTACAAAAAACATATAATACTCTTAACAAAAATCAATCGTACTATATTCTTAATATATGCAATTGTACAGTACTCATAGTCAATAATAATGTATTGGAATACAACTGTATCAATAATCGCATCTCAAATATATATACACTTTTAGGTCAGGTATCAGTCTCTGTATATAAAATTTGAATACATCTTGATACACCTATTTCACATGATAATTCTTAATTGCACCGAAACAAAATTGAACAAATTACTAAATATCTTAAACTTTGAACTTAAACTAAGCGAATATCATGCGTTCTTGGCCGTGTTTTGTGTTTTGTCTTCATTTTTTTTTTGGTAATCTTATCGTAATATCTCACATAGTTTTTCAAAAATAATTTTTTGCACAGTAGCCTATATATTCTTTGTGTATCTTTAGTACCAAAAAGATACTTGTGTAGATATCATTTATATATTGATTTGACGCGAAACTAAATTTTATCATATACCATAGCATACGACTACAACACGCGCATTTATATTTCATTATCATTTTTATCGCAATTTCAGAGTAAACACATAAACTTGTCACATTAATCTTGACTCGACTTCCACAAATTCTACGTGAGATTTCTAAACTGGTGTCTTAGGCTCTTCGTTTTTTTTTAAATTGTTATTTTTTTCACTTGACTTTAAATAGTCTTTCTGAAATTTATACATTCAATATTATGGGACTACATATTAGACAGCATTATAAGAATCAGGTTGTTTGTATTGCAATATCGATCCCATTGTTTAATTTGATTCTGCGAGCTCGACGATCTTGGTTGTCACGTACGTGAATACAAGTCAATGTATTCTCCGTTGAGAAAACGAAGACGTAACTGTTTCGAAGCTATTTTCTTTAATTTATTTTTTCCGTGATTAAGTGAAAAATAATTTGCAGAAAAGCTTCCCTCTCCTTCTGGATTGATGTTCACGATATCGGCAATTCACATAGGGATCAGATTGCAATAAAAAGAACCTTTACATTATTTTTAAGATACTTGACGGACACACTATGCGAACGTTTAAAAATAAATATAAATATCCATAGTGCATAATATTGCATGCAAAAAACGTGTTCTTCATTTCTAAATTAAACTGCACATTATATAAAAACAAGCATTTCACTATATATATCATATAGTTTTTAAACTATCAGCTAAACGAGTTGATGAGAATTTCAATCCTCCAATTAGTCTGTGCGATATCTCGTGTATCGCTCTTATGCGAGCGACGCGCAATCTATGGATCAATATGGGCTCGTCGTTAATTATGCGTTACATGGTTTGCAGGTGTACATGATAAAATATTCTTTTGACATAGCTTCAATATATACTTGTGTCAGAGGTAAAAGGAGGTTTGATTCGTTTTTTTTTTACTTCCACTATTGGGAAACAGTGATGTGCAGCACATTTTCATACACGGCAATTGATAAAGAAAAAGAGAATTAACGTTCAATATAAACACTCTGACTTCGTGACTTGCCTCACAAAGTGTATGCGTTATGTAAAATGCTCCCGCCGATCTCTACGCGCTATTAGCAATGACGCGCCATTCCTATTTCTCAGACAATTATACATCTGATATAGATATCTGACAATTTTTAATTACTCAGGTACATATATATATATTATATATTTAAGAAAAATATAAAGCTAGAAGCATGTATATCAGGTTGAAGAACGTATCACGTAAGTATATAAAATTTTTATCAGAGAACGTTACGTGAAAAAAGAAAAGCCTTTCTCTGCCAATAAATCCTTCGAAAGCATCTCGTAAATATATCTCTTTAATGGCTCGAGCAATCAGCTCGTTAGCATTTCATAGCATTACCTCCGACTTATATTTCACCGAATGCTACTGAAACAATGAATTCTTGTGCAAGATTTAGTGAGTGTTACGTATAAAAAAAAGCGCTTCCACCAAAAATTTTGCAATAAAAAAAATACAGCGAAAAAGATGTTGCCAAAAAGTAAATCGGATTCTCGTCACGAGTATCTCGTTGAATCGTACCTCCATTATCCATTTATTTTTAGAGAAATGAACGAAACATCGCGAAACATGAGTATTCTATGTTGTGAGTATACAAGCATCTAAAACTTTTTTGTTACGAAAATATTGTAATATCGCGTGCGTCGCGTATGTACATCTACTTGTCGCGTTTCATCGACGTGCATCTGCGTTAACTTGCGGACGATCAAGAGCCGGAAGAAAGGAAAGAGAAAAAGGATTCGTCTTCGTACACGGACCTCTCGATCATTTTAAACGCTTGTACCTCCGTAATATACAAACACTTAGCGAAACTACGAAACGTTATAGCAATTTACAGTGACGTTTTGGGATACTTCGTATCGTAATATATATATGTACATGCGTATATCACTTATGTGATTACGCAACGCGAGATATATATATTTATCAATCTTACATACATATACACACAGTAAAATATATAAGATTGATGGGTCTGGACCTGAGTTCTCCATCGAGAAAAACGAGCAGTAACGCCATAAGCCATATCTTCTACGTCACTGCCAATGTCTTATATATTTTTTCTTTTCTTTTTTTTTTTTGGTTTTGTTTTCCCGAAACGTTTCGTCAACTCAAGCGTCAAAGAATTGGTTTCTGTTCGGCCGACTTCTCAGCTAGCCTAGGCTGGGCTAGCAGCTAGAGTTTCAAGCAAGCAAGGCACAGGAGCGCTAAGGGCTCAACGTGCTAGGAGGCACTACTCAACAGTTCCATGCTCTTAATGCCTCGTCAACAGCAGCACCAACAAGTTAACACTGGAAACGAAAATGTCTAGAATGTGCGGCATGAACAATTAGTAGCGATTGTAAATAGTAGCATCGTAAAAACTACCGTCCGCATTTAAGATATTACCGTCGATTCGTGTGTGTACGTACGCGCACGCCGGCACGGGGAAAGAACGATGGAACGAAAGTACATCATCTCGTCAAGTCAATATATATATATATATATATATATATATCGCACACACAGTACAGCGCGGTCCGCGATTGCATAAATAACGGCGTAGATCCTCCAAACAAGAGACTCGTACTGCACCGCGCCGTGCGGCGCGGAAGGCTCGCGGAAATACTATCGCGGAAAGATTGCAATACCGCTAATACGTACGTCGTGCAATGTTGCTGCAACATCCGCAGCAATGTTGGAACATCCACCTATATCTTTGCGCGCCGTACTTTGCAATATTACAAGTGCTGCGATGTAATCGAAAGCTTCCGCGTTTCGTACGGGCTATATCGTCGTTAAATCTAGAAAAGTTCAGGTACGGAAGAAAACGCGTAAGATCGTTTGTGCATCATTTTTTTTTGCATTTCCCGGTCGACACACCCGGCCGCACGCGCGTCATGCGCGCGCGCGCGATCGTATTGTCGCAAATGCGATACAATTTCCCCGTTTGTTCGCGATCCCCTCGAAATGAACAAAGAATCGGAAGTTTCTTTCGCGTTTCACTTGTACGATGTCGCGCGCCGCGAGATATCGCAGAAACTCTAGAAAAATATACTCTATCTAAATATATATACACGCATCCCGCTAAGGAAATGATATCTTCGTTTCGTAAGGTCCGCGTCAAATCATTGCAGTGTGCGTGCAATTTAGTTCAATTTTTTTCAGTCTTGAAATAGTTTTTCTTTTTGTTGTTGCTGTTTATTTGGGTTTTTTTTTTGGCTCTGGCCCTCCGCGCGAGTTCGGTGCGCATACGTACAGATTTTTGCGTATACAGCAGTGTGTGTTAAACATTGAAAGTACACTAACATACATATTATTGATTTCTTATGAAGGTATATGGACTTCTCCTCGAAATTGTACGTTGTCCCATTTACATTTCTTTTTATATATATATGTTCTTTACATATGTAAACGTGAATGAGGTATACCTCATCCTGCGATCTCTCTGTGATGTATCTGTTAGGTACCGTATAGCGTTTGCAACATTGAGACAATAGATTGCTGACTAAGCTACTATAACTAATGAGAAGGAGAGAAAGGAAACAGTTAAAATGTTTGTGTTACTTTGCGTATCCACAATTCCGAGTAGAATTTTCGCCACGTGTGTGTTTAATAATTTGTGCCGATAGCGATTCGATGAGTAAAACACCGTGTGAAATAAAATGAAGTCACGCTGAAAGCTCAAATGAAAACTTACAGGCCCAATTGCATACTCGTTTGGCTTTGACAAACACAATTTGATAATTTATCGTTTCGCTTCTCAGAAAATCGATAGCGCGCACGCGAGAGAAAAAAGATCTCTCCGCGCTCGTGTATATATTTATTGTTAAACTCGATATTACCTGAATTACGAAAAAATGTATTTATTTATGGATGGAACGCTTTGATTAGTGACTCATATGTTCTATAAATTTTGGCCTCGTCTATTAGCAATCATAGTTATTGCTTCGTAACTAATTCATAAACGACTGATAAATAACATCTTTATATATGCAGGACTTGAAAAATTGTCTAATTATAATAATTAACGTCATTTAGATTAATTGTAAACATGAAACAACAATTGCACATATTTAAACGTCTAATGTATTATGCTACTTTACATTTTTTTCCTCCATATTTTATTTCTTTTTTCATCGCTCTATGCATTTAATAATTTGTCATATTGTTAATACAAAGTGTCTCTCGTTGAACGCACTTCCTTTGAACTGTACTTTCCTTGACCAATCCTAAGTCGAGCTTTCCTTTACAAAGATCTCGAGATCAAGGCTGTAAAGCGTTTTGGATAACATATTCTAGAGTTAACTTCAAATAGACTGTATTTTAATAGAATTTTAATTTGAAGCTTAGTTATAAGGATATATTATTTTAAAGATTAGAAAATTGTGTTAAATTTCGGTTCTCTGATGAGCGAAAGTCGATTCAAAATTGGCCGCGATTTAGAGGAAGTCACGCTCGGCGAGGGACGCTTTATAGATACTGAAATAATAAAAATAACTTTTTGATTAATGATCGTACTATTAATGCACACTTATAGTTTTCATTATCACAAAATACCGTCTACTCCATGATATTATTCCCACACAAAATCTCCTGCTCAAAAGTAAACCAACACCAGTCATTCTGCACCTGTTACAGGTTGCTTCCACGTAATAACGATGCAATCGGGCCTCTCTCTCTCTCACTTTCTGCCTCTGTACATCTGGCACTCTGCCTCTGTCAAATAATATACAACAGCATGGCCATGCAAGGGTGGAGAGCAAAAAGCTACCATGCCTCAATAGAATTCACGAAAGAACGCTTGTAGAGTAGAATGGATGATAATAAGATCTAGACGCTGCAGCGCGAAGCGGCAGCAAGGAAGGGATCGGCTGTCAACTGACAGCCTCACCTCCGTCTTACTTGAAAGCAAACCCCATCAAAATCATCATCCTTACTTCAGCACCTCACCAGGCCTGTCTCGACGATACGTCTACACAAGCTAAAAGAACGTCCATTTGTCAATGCCTTCCAATTGAGAAAAAAGGTTTCTACTTTAATAGGATGGATTGTGATTCAATTCAGATGGATACGCGCGTATTTAACACCGTCGTAATCTCTTTCGCACCCGCGACGAGGTGATTCACCTCGCCGTCGGGGACCCGAACGTGAAATTGTGCTGCACTCAACAACACTTTCACCACCGATCGACCTCGGTCGTTTATAAAGCTATATGGAAATTCGTGCGACAGTTTTTTTTTTGTGTTCATACTGACAAGACGGAATGCGAGATATTGAAAAAAAAAATAATAATAATAATAACTATACGATCGAACGAATGTTCAAAGAATTCTGGGAAAGCAAGCTGCCCGATGGGTGATCGTAACCGAGATATGAACAATTAGAACGTTATTACGGCGAATTTAGCTGTCTCTCATTTCGCGTTCTTCGTGCGAGAACTTGGACGTCGAAATTGTCAGCGGCCGAGGAGTATTTCGATAGATACGATATGTACATTATTGGTCATTTCGCCCGAGTTTGAAAGCATTTTGAGTAGAGCACGTTGCAAGGCAATGACGAAATATTGAAATACAAGTATTGGTATGAACAAGATTTGTTCAGAAGTGAGCGTCGAGCGGATAGAAACGGGTATTGTTACGTTAACAATGCGCGCGGAATGCGAGAAAGAATCTCCAAATATTTTCGTTCGTTTCACGTCGGAAAAGTGTTTCCTTCATTTATCCCTGTTTCGTTTTAGTGCAACTAAAACAGGAAGGATTTTCTACATGCGTTGAACGATTTGCTCGTGGTGTCCACTGCGAAACGTGCAGTAACATTCCACGTTAATAATCTCGGTGAAAGCGAATGCATTTGATACACTGGCACTTTAGCGTCGAAACGGAAAAGCGTTTGACTCGCGTAATTCCGCGATTGACCGCGCAGTATAATTTGGCACATGCAACTTTAAAGCGCTTGCATTAATAATGATCATAAATGATCTTCCGCGCGCTTTCCGCTCAACGCGATTTCCGTTGAAATTCATACGTGCGAGTGATCGAAGGGCTCGAGTAGTATTATACTCGTGAAAGCGATCGTTCTGTCGATCGTGTGCGTTAATTGTTAAATATGGCTTTCGATTTCTGCAACCCTTCGATTCTCGTTACGTTATAGTTCTGAGACTGATGCGGTCGATCGAAGCGCACGATGCGGTACGATGCCATCGGATTCAACTTGCGTCGCCATTGCGTTGGAAAGTACACGAAAGCATGTACATATATGTATATGCATATACATATGTATGTATATATGCATGTATACATAGGTACATTGTGTGTGTTATGTACGTATATTAAATATACACGTACAAACACAATCGAGGTATTCGCGAAGTCCTTAAAGAAAAAGAAACTGCGTTCAAAAGAACTGCTGGCAGAAAGCTTAGCACATTCTGCTCTCGAGGTTACTCCTTGCCAGAAGGTTCTACGCATCGATAAACTGCAAAGTGTCAAAGAAGTCACATTTTACCGTAAATGAACAGAGCTGACGGCTCCCTAACGGCCGAGGAAATCGTTCAGCGGAAATAAGTAAGTTACTTTTGCGCGCTTAATAACCGATTCTAGTAACTGACTTTAACACCGAGCCTACCATGTTGTGGGCGCCAGTAGCAGCAGGCTAGGTACAGCGCCAGGATAATCACCAGGACCTCGACGAAGACCAGGGTAGCGGCCACACCGATCACTATCGCCGCATTCTCCTCAATGGCGGTCATCATGGCCTTGTAGCAACCCTACAAATAGGCAATGTAATCAAGTAATCATATACATCAACTTTCATACGACATATCAATCGAAATTAATCTTATCTCAAAAAGAAAAAATATATCAAAGCACTATTGAACTGAAAATTCAGGCGGATTTTTTTGTGTATCAACTTGGATTTAAAAAGTAAATTTTAAGAGTAAAAAGTCTAGCTTTCACGAAGTTTTAATCTGAGTTTTAATCTGAGAATTAAGTGGCGAAAGATATTCAATATCGAAAAAGATGTAATCAAAACGATCAAATCTCTCATCGCTGCGAAAATGTCGGTTTAAAAATAGTTGCAAAGTTCTTACATGAAGCTTAATATAAACATTTTCTCTGTCATGTGGGGCAGTATCTGTTCGAATACATCTTTATGGATGTTTCGGTGTACGAGAACTAGGAACACGCAATGCCAATGTCGAGTCACGCTCAGAAAATTGTCAAGGGGAAAGTGTGTTATACGTGAACAGACGTACGTATGACCTATGCTCGTACAACAACAATTTATGCCTAGCATGCTGATCGGTTTGAGTGCTAGATACACTGAGATACGTTGATAATATATAAAAAAGGAGCCGCTAAAGTAATATAAATAAGATCCAACTTACCGTCATAATGTACGAGTTAGTCGCGGAGGGAATATATGGACATGAAGAATCCTTCAGGACGTCATTTTCTTTTAGACAACAGGCTTCGGGGATCTTCTTTCCGGTCTTTTCAGTCCAGTTCCTATTCTCACTGAAGTCTTGATAACTTTCCACGCCGCAACAATGGAGCTAAAAATATTTCCATCGATATTAGACATATCGTCTTTTCCGTTTTTGATCGGGAAAATTTTTCTTTTCCTGTTTACTGATTTCTCGCAGACCCATAACCGAGAAGACAAACGGATAAGAGATATTGTATTTTTATATAAGGATAACCTATTATCTCTTTGAATTATTTAAATTAGTAATTTAATGATGCTTATTGAGAGCTTGTGACGTTATATGATATTTCTTGAATTTGAGGAAGAAAATAGATATGCGATACTTCCTCATAATTTATCCGCTTTCCTATCCATTTTCTCCGTAATTTATCAAGACGCTCTAAAACAAAATTTCTGGCGAGCGTTCGCTGTATGCAATTTCGCTACAAAGTGGTACGATAGCGAATACGCCGCGCGATAGTTCGTACGCGCGATATTACCGGCTTTCACTTACAGTTTACACCAAAACCCCACTGCAGTTAGCGAGCCACTTGGCAAATTAATCGCGTTTACGCATGCAAGACAAATGAAATCCGGAAGAATCAATGTACCATTAATTCGCGTGTCAGCCCGCCGCTCGTGCTCTAAATTAATTACCGTTAACTGACGCATTCTCATTAGCGTTATAATTAGTAACTTTACCTTACTCATGATACCGTCCCATGCGACTTGCACTGTATCAGTTTTATCACCGGTGGACGCGTAATACTTGGCGATGGTCGATTTCAAGAAGTCCTGCGTACCCTTCTCGACCTGTATAAATTTTATATTAAAGTGAATCTTATAAAAAAAACATATATTATTTATACATTGAGAAAAAAATTGCTTGAAAAACACAAACATTTGTTTTACTAAAATATTTAGTCCGATACGTTCAACTAAACATTACTACAATAACACACAAAATAATTCATTACTATTATAAACAAAATACTATTTTTTTCACTAAACTATTTTGTTCTAACAAAAATTTATTGTATTTAACTCAACCGCTCGATTAAAAATATACACTATTTATCATCTTCATCAGCATTGTTTACTCGGTACGATACTTGAAATTTAAACAAATATATTACCTGGATGCTAAATAACATGTAAACACAAATAAATATTACTAGTATTTTGAAATAAACAAAATAATTTAATTGAGTTGGTTTAATTGAGTTAGTTAATTCTTAAAAAATTTTGATGGTTGACATGAATAAACTATACCTCTCTTTGTACAACTAAATAATTGTTGAATCAACCATTGGATCGTACAAATTTAGTCCGTACAATCAATTATTTTTTTTAGTGTATTAATAAATGTAACTCGTTTGCTCGCTAGTTCACTGATAAGAATTTTTAGACGTGAATTATGATAATTATATGAATACGCACGTCTCCTTTAAGTCCAAAAGCGAGGCCGACTACCACACACTCCAGGATCAAAACCAGCAAGATTAAAATGCCATACTGTAATCACAAAAATGTTTTTTCCCTTTTTGTGTAACTCCGTTCCAATACGTGCCCGACATCGTTGTGATTTTAAATGAGAAAATAAATCGAGAACACATGACAAGATTACCTCGTACGTGAAATTCGATTTTTTCGAAAACTCTACATTATAAAAAAAAAAAAATTATTCTATGTTTTCGAAATTATTCTATGTTTTCGAAAAAAAATTATTCTATCTTATTTCTTTCTGTAAATTCTCTCTTCTCGATTATACCAGCAATAACAGATAGAATCACCTTGTATTTGCACACTGTTTACATTACGAATGAGAGAAAAAAAATCAAGGCGTGAAAAAATCTCGCGTTATATTATTAATTGAACGGCGCCAAATTTTTTACGTTGCTTGCGTCGTTTTGAATTAACTATGTCATATACTCGATATTTACTACAATTAGCAAAGCTAATAGCGTTTTCTGTCAAAATACCCATTAAAAGATATGCAATGTCATTCTAGGATTTTTTATTAAAAATCATATTTATCCTGTAACGCTCACTTATTAACTCATAGTTATTTGCATACGTGTATTAAAATCGTAACATTTCTATTTGTAGGTACGAAACACGCAAGAGAGATTGATGGGCAATTTGCAATCTCTATGTATTCATGTATTTGCGAGTCTCTTGTGATTTTGCATCAGACTGCCTGCGAGCGTATGTACATAGGTGAGATGGAATTACAGGCGAAACGAGTTTTATCAGAACGGACTTACGACACAGAGGAGACACCTGGACTCGAACATAGCGCCGCAATACCCGAGGAAACTGATAATGAACGTGAGAGCACCAGCGATGATAAGAATGTAGGCGATCATCTTGATAACATCGGCGTCCGTTTTATTCTGCAAAATAGCAAGGTGCAATGAGAATACAAATCGTCCTGTGACGAATATTCATCGCTGAACGCGGAACACTACGAGAGATTGCGCAACATTACGAGTATCCTTGAATCTTTTTTTTCATATCGAGATCTCGCGCGTTCATAATGACACGCAAATTTACTTATTGTAATAAAATTAAATTTATTATATATACTTTTTTATTTAAATCAAATATATAAAATTATTGTATTTTCATATTAATAATATATAGTTAATATACATTATAAAAATTTTTTATAATGTATTTTTATTATACTTTTAACAAATTATAATAATAATTTAAATTTATTAATTTGTGAACACAACAAATGTAAAACAAGAATACAAGTCGAACGAAAATCCTGTTTAACCTGAAATCGCGGAAAAATAAAAGTCACAGAGAGAGATCATCGTTTATCGTGATTCATAAGTTTTCGCGCTCAACGGGAAGTTTACGATCACTTATTACAAATCGCGGGATTTCCGCGCTCCATTTGGGATTGTCTCGTCTTTTACGAACGATATTATTTCCTTAGAAGCCATGATATAATTGAGAGCATCACTGAATTGCAAAAATAAACTAAAAAGAAATCGATAGAAATTTATTTTAATTTTAATTTATCTTGATTTTATTAATTTAAAACGAATGTAAAATTTCTAACAATTTTCAAATTATTTTCTATTTGTTGTCATTTTCCATTTTAATTCATTTAATTAGTTAAAATAATTTTATTTTTTACGAATTCTCACTTAACAAATCTCACATTGCTTCTTTGAAGTATAACTTGATTCATTAAAATATTTAATTCTAAGAAAAGTAGTTTTTTTAATGTAAATAAAGTGAATCTCACTCCAGAAAATTTAGAGAGTACCTAATTACTTTTAGGAAGACTATACGATATATGAAAATTCCAACTAATATCGAAATTTGAATGTTCAAAAAATAAAAAAAAAGCAAATTCAATTTTAACTTAAAAAATTTACAATTTTGAATATATGTCAAAAATTTTACATAGAACATATTTTTCTCAGTTCTCCTTATTTTACAATCTTATTCTAAAATAAAAATATAAAATTGTGCAAATGTTAAAGAAGAGCTTCCTATGTAGCAATAAGCATATGCGACGTCGGCAATCGCAACGTGGTCAATCGCACGTGGGCAATCGCAACATGGCCAATTGCAACGCGTGGTCAATCGCAACGTGTGCAATCGCAACGTGGGCAATCGCACGTGAACAAAAATAAAATCGCGTGATTAAAATTAATCTACATGAGTGATGGACATTAGAATTCTGTGATCCGTTATTACTGAACGAGCGTCATTAGAAAAAAGAACTTTTCTATAACAACAAAACAGCGGCAAAATTATTGCAAACTCAACAACAACTAGAGAAGTGTTGAGCCCACAACAACTTTGTTACCACATTTTGCAGTTAATGAATAAGTTAGCGAGAGAGAGAGAGAGAGAGAGAGAGAGAGAGAGAGAAAGAGAGAGAGAAAGAGAGAGAACATCTATAGAAAAAGAAAAGTTGTGTTCATTAACGACAATCGTTCGATAATAGTATCGTTAAGGATTACAGAATAGGGTCCTCTTGACATAATATACAAAGTATAAGCGCGCTATAGTACGCGTATAAGCCGCGAACAATTATTAGGTCGGGCTCGTCACCAGCAAGTATCCAACCGCGAGTATTGTACGGAAACGTGCTCGATATAAGAGGATGACATAATGGCTTGCGAACGGCACTTGGAATACTTATAAGCTCCCTACACACAAGCTGTCGTCGTGCGTGATAGATATCGAGTTTCACGAGGCGGATCGGAGAGTGGAAACATAGACGCGCCTTTGTGCGGGGCGTCGGCGTCGCGAGAAACGAGGCGCATCTGCCGCCGTCGCGGGCTCCTCCGCGGATCGTTATTCGTTAAAGAAAGGAATTGTACAGGGAAAAAAAAGAAACGAGAAAGAGATGTTCTCTCGATATATACATATATTTCCGCTCGGCGCTTTCCCGAACCGGCGCGCTCGCGCCGTCGTTTCGAGAGCGCGAAGACTTTACGGGATGCGGTTATCTTCGCGCGAATCTTGAAGTGAATGAAGTATGCGTGTGCGAACTTGAAACGCGAGCGGATAATCTGATCCGATAGTCCGTCCGTGAGTTGAGCCCGCGGTAACAGAGAACCGTGCTAATCCAGCCATCGCGTGTGAAAATCTAACCGCGAAAGAAACGAGGTTCCTAAGGACTCGAGAAAAGCGTCAACCGACTACTAATAACTAGAGAGGGAAATCGAGAAAAAAGACAAATCAATTTTAGGAATTTTCAAAGTGCTTTGCTTCACGTTTCAATACTAAGGACTTACATTTTTTTTTTTTTTTTAAGAGTGCATAACTCTATAATTTTAATTCGAGGCCGATACGAGCTTAAGATAATTTTTCTCGCGCGTACAACCGCGCTTCTCATTCGAGGCTCGCGCATCGGCCTCGAGTTGAAGTTATATTTGCTTATTAGCAAATCAATGAAACCGACAATACAAATACGATTTTTATCAGAGCTATACTCGGCTTACAATAAATCATAAAATATCAATGCCGTCGTCTTGTTCCGCCGCGGAATTACTTGAGAATAATTTACAAATGTTTTCGCGGCACGTTTACGACTTTGAGTGTGTGTGTGTGTGTGTCAGATAAGGCGATCACGTCGTTTGCGTGACCATCGTTTTACGGTTCGCGAGAAATGCAGCGGGGGGGGGGGCTCGCTCGCACAGCTCTAAAGCGTTTCCCCGCCGCGATTTGTGCCCGCCGCGGATTACTCCGTGGATACGTTGACACTCTTATCTCGCACACCTGTTGAACGGACATAAGGTATTTTTAGTACCGGGTACCACCTTAGTATAGGCGCGCCAAGACCGACGCGCTGCACGTCTTATTGAACACCGCCACTTGACGGCGGAGCGTGCCGCGAAAAATCAGGTCACCAGGTGAAAGGACTAATAAGGCTGTCTCGTGTTCGGTTTCACCGGCTTGTTCCGCCAGATTGATCAAAACTATTCGAGCGGCGACAGGCGAATGATAAGCAGCCGACTAGTGGCTAGTTTTAAATTCACAGGTTCACCACATCGGGAAGTTGTTGAAACTAAGTAGCTGTTACTTTGTGACGAACGGACAGAATGAATTAAACGCTATTAAAAAAGAAATCCGTCTTTATTAGCATGTAAACTGCAAAAGAAATATACGTATGTGCACTTGTAGAAATAAATATTATGAAGAAGGACAACACAATTCGCTGACTTATTGTTAGTGATATATATTTTCGAAATTATCTGAACTTGAACAATAATATAAAAGATATTTTTATAAAAATTATTAAAAATTATTTTTAAAAACTGTTAAGTATATTTTCGAACTTTAATCTTTAAAGAATTTTTTTCATATAAATGACTTATGTTGAAATCTTTTTAACACTAATCGTGCAAGTTTTCTAATATTTATTTTACGATTTCATAAATGTATATTCTTTTCGCACTGTGTGTTAATGAAAATAGCACAATGATTTTTTTCTGTAGAGTATAACATTGATTTTACTTTGTCCATTTATTACAAAATAACAGTCATTCAGATTCAGCAACTTTTCAATGGTCACCCTATACAGTCAACCTACAACACTATGAGTCATTCATCTCGCAGGTCTAGCAAGTAGTTTACTACTTTACTAGTCCATAAGATACTCATTAGCATCAGTAATATTGAATTGTATATCAATTTAACGTGCCTTGGCGCACCCGTGGCTCTGAAGTTATGTATGATTGGAGAGAAAGGACTTTTCGAAGATTATAAGCTTCAGAGAAACCAATAAAACACGTTCCCTCCAGTCTCAAATTATTTCTATGTAAATTTTACTTTGGAATTTTAGTTTAAAATTCCATTGCAAGAATATGTAATACTGAAAGGTGTGAAAAAGATTTAAAATCTTTTACGAGATTTCAATTGTCAGGTAAATTTTATCTTGGTGGAATTTCAGTTTAAGATTTCACTCACGCAAAAGTATTGTAATATTGAAAGGGGTGGAAAGTGTCGCAATAAATGATCCTCCTTCAAATATCTTCCTCAATCGATTTAAAATCTTTTACAAGAATTCAATTGCTTAACTTTTTTAAGCTCACGCTTAAAAAAAAAAGAATCTTTTCTTTAATCTCTTTACAATCGTTTCAAAGAGCTGTCGGTGAACATAGAAAACTACCGAACTATTTTCACGTCCTTCAAGAGAGTAATTCGACAATTCAAGGATTAATGCGAAAATAACACGAGGCCCTAATAAAGAATTAAAAGAATACACGACCTATCAGGCGTGCGCACACACGCACGCACACGGGGAATCGTGGCCCGTCGTCGGAGCACGAGCTGTTGCTCCGAAATGACCCAATTTAGCGCATTTACAGTACACGGACGTATGTTGCGCGTGCGTCAGCGAGTTAATGCATTTTCTGGAGCTAACGGCGTACGTCCTAAATACCTGTTCCCCCTCGTGATCGTGGATGCGTCGAGCGTGCCCGATGGGAGAAGGAGGACGCGGATGTCTAAGCGAAAGCCAGGTCCCCTGAATTTTCTCTCTTTTACGAGGAAAATTTTCCTTTCTAATTTCAAATCCCTCCCCGGCGCGGCGCTTCCGCTCCGTGTTTCGTACGTGCAATCAACGTTCCTGATTAATATCGATATTGTCATGTCCACGTTGATTATTGTCCAAGGATGAGACTGTATACCACTACTTATCCGCGTTCTCCATCGATATCGCTCAAGCAGGACGAGCAATTAACGGGATAAGCCGAGGGGATCGGTGTATGTACCCTGACGGCGGAGGGCAGACGGAGAGGGAAATGGAATCGTTGTCGAGGAAATGTAAACGACACCGATATCTCTAACAATAAGTGATAAGGGTACCCTAAGACAAGGCATTTAATCGACTATGTCTGTCTCAACTTTCGTTTGTGTATGCTGCTTTGCATTTACAATTCATTTACAGTCCTCCATCTACGAAACGTCATCGATCGAGCAAAATTTTCTGCGAAAATCTTTTGATCCTTTGTGAGAACTTTATGAGGGCTTTAGAACTTCGAATCCGCTTAAAAAATTCTCTCCAAAGGTAGCAACGACCAGCCTAACGGTCAGGTATTTTACGTTTAATATCTCAAACGACTAACCCACTAATTCGCAAACCGAATCCCATTCGCGAGGAGTTTCTAAGAGACGCCAACGTATATAACGGCCACAAGTTATATCCTGATTAGAGTGATTAGAAGCGACTTTCTAAGCGTCCCCGAGCCGTCGCTAATAACGCAACAGTGATTTGTTCATATATCCAACGAGCCCATATGACTGCGATTTTTTATTTTCATTTTCTTTACACGCGATTCCAGATACCACGTATCTGTCATTCGCAAATCGCTTCTAGGAACTGAAAGCGAGTCTACCGCTCAATCTACCGCGCGACATTATTATTAACGCAACGATATATCTATAGCGGTATATCTAAAAGAATCGTCGCGTGATTCACGTGCGGCTCATATTACTTTGTAATACGTATTAAGGATTAATTTTAGTAAACTCTCCGCGTTCACATTCCCGAAATATTTGGTTTTATAATGAATCTCTAATCTTACGACACCTTCGTGTCTTTTTATGAATGACTGGCTTTATTATAATGTTTCGCTTTATCACAGGGAAACGCGCGTTACCCTTTCGCTTGTGCGAAACGAACTCGCAAAACGAAAGCGAGGCACTTTTACTTTTCCACGGCGTTCCGCTATCTAGCTCCGCCACCGAGGGGAGAATGACGCGGGCGATGTAAATATAAAAAAAGATTTCAGGCGGGATTTCGCAACGCCGCCCGAGTCGCCCGAATATTTGGCGAACAGAAGGAAACCGAAGAGCGGATCGCGTCGATCGGCGGCCGCCCGTAAAAACCGTACGAAGAGCTGAGGCCCTCTTGTGCCATGCGTGTACCTATACGAGCGAGCATACGAATCCGTGATGGAGCACCCCGATCCTCCCACGCGTTGCGCTAATGTGACAACCAATCATCTCATCAGCGACCAAGTACCGATAATTACGTTTCTCGTTCTCCCTGTCTGTAAAACGTTGCCGTACCCACGTCGCATATCGCGCTATACGCGCGCGATTTGCCGTCGATTCTCGCGTTTTTCTCGGTAGAAAAAAGATTACAAAATTATGTTTTAAAAAAATATATAATTTATATATATATATATATATATATATTGTATATATATATATATATAGACGCGTGATGTCGTGATGTCGATAAAAGGCAACCGAAGGCGCGGAGGAAGGAAATAGCTTTGCAGTAGCAATTATTCGAAGGAAGCAGCAACTTCCATTCTCTATTGTTCTCGTTAACCGCGGCCTTTAAGGTAAGTCGCTCTTTTTGCGCCCCTTCTCTGCACAGTTTATAGAGTCGAGCACCTCGTTAAATGTTATATTATCCGGTACCACTAAGCGGCTCGTAATTAAACAAATCCTACAGCGTATGTCCGTCCCATGTGCTTATATACATCTCTCGTGAATTCTTCTAAAGTAATACCTAAAACAATACGAACGAACTACTACCTTCTCGAAAAAATAAACTTGAATCTCTGCCAGATTTCTACGTGTCGTAACAAAAAGAAATAGAAATGACAAGAATTGTTAACTTAATTTGAACATCAAATAAGACACGCGTAACTTTGAAATTTGTTGATTTAACCTTATGATAATATGCCCTAATTTCGTGTTTTATTTTAGTCGCAAGACACTGACAGTTTTTACACACGCAAACATATTTCTTAATTAATTTTGATTGAAACGAAAACAATATTTTTTAATTTCAATTAGAACGGTTATGCACATGTGAATACACATAATAAGAAATAAGCGGCTAACGACTTCCGAAGCGGTAAAAACATTTTAAAAACTGTAACGAGTATTTAAGTAGGTCATTAACATCACATTATTTTGCTAAAACCATAATATAAAATTATGTATGTACATGAAACTAAAGAGTATAAAACAGTAATTTAATCTAACAAATCACAAGTTAGCTCTTCGTTAAATCTTCCATCGTACCTTTGGCATTGTTCCAAAAGAAATGGATGTTTATCTTTAAGCTGATCTAGTTCCTGTATTCCACTCAGATTTCGGCTTTGTTGAACGTTTTTGGATATATTAAACGTTCGTTCGTTAAAAATTTCAACGAATTTCAATTTATACATTACAATATAAATTTGACACTTTTAAAAATAAAATAAAATCCATGGACTATACCGCAATTCATGATCTGGAGAGAAATATCATTAAATAGCCTAAAAAATTAATTAGAATGCTCAACATATGTAAGGCTTTTATAAAAGAGAAAAGGAGGATTTTTTGATGCAAGAAAAAATTGTAAGCTTTCCAGGCACTATATCAATCCGTAGATACCTTTGTTATTAAAAAAAAATCAAATTATTGTAATGTTTGACGTTGCCAGAATAAAAGAAATTACGCAAGAATATTTTATTTTATTTTTAAGAGTGTCTAGGAACGGTAATGTTTATGTATGGAGAAATAAAAGAATCTCGGAAAGAATACTCGTGCTTACATTATCGATCCGACGACACGGTAGTATAGAAAAATCACGCTAATACGTAGCGATAGTGATACCGACGTATATCCATGTGTTAGAGACAATGGTATGATACAATACACGTCACGCGTTTCTCGTTACATATCTGCATTTCGCACGTGCTCGTACAATGCGAGGCATAGTTAATGCGAGCCGCGTTAGATAATTTTCCAATGCTAGCGAAAAGATTCGTCAGCAAAACGAGGCGTAAGAATGATATATGCTTCTTATGTATACGTCGTCCACATGCGGAAGTACACAAGTTAAACGCGTAAAAAAGAAGAAAGACAGCACCTCTACTGATATGATATGATAATCGCGCGAGAATTGGTAACAAATCCAGTTTGGTTCCAAGTCGAACTTCCTCGTTACACCTATCGTTAATTGCGTAACAGACAACTTACGACGTAATTAGCACAATTGCGCAAGAGAAACTCCGAGACCGTATAAATAGCCGTCTCTCTGTAAGGATATATGCGGGCGGATCATTTTTCTTCTTACGCGCGAAGCGGACCGTCCGTGGATCGGACGTCTGCCTCCTCCCCCCGAAATTCCTTCGGCAATGAATCTCGAGAGGCGGCAATAAAATCGGAGCAGATGGAATGGCCGAACTGTCGATTGTCGAGAGATATCCAGTTAAATGCCTCCAGTCTAAAATTTGTCAAAATTCGACGCTGGACGACGATTCTTAACAAAGCAACGGGGGGAAACGCTTGCGGGTCGCGGTAGGAATTCAACAGCAGCGGAACTCGTTTGCGAACCGGTATTTTCGCCGGGAATTGTCCGGCTCGCTTTAAAGCGGCGTTTAAAATCGAAAGTACATCCCGCTTTGTTCGAAACTCGTCGCGGAAGGTAGGGAAATTAAAGAGGTCGATTTGAAAGTTAAATTATCCAAACTTCGCCCCGCGTCCCGCCGCGGCGCGAGTCGCGTAGATACGGCCGCACTCTGCGCGTTCGTGCGAAGAGCTCTCGTTGCTCCTCTCATTGGATATTTGGTACTCGGCCAATTCGCCACTTGTACGCCACACGACATCGCGCGAGCAAGTGGCTCATCGCGCAGTGTCAATTAACGACTTCCTCGAAAAACAAGGTAGAAGAACCACAACTTGGGGACGGAAAGTGCGTGCAACCTGCGCTCCCCTTCCTCCTCGTCCCTCCGTCCCCCACACCCCTTCTCTCCCATCGTGTCGCGCGCGATGTCGCTTTAATGCGGATTAATCTGTTTACTGTCTCTTACCAGAAAGTCGGATTGATCGAGCTTCCCGATGAGATTGGTGAACGAGCTCCTGTCGGCGAAGAGCCAGATACCGACAGTCAATGCCGCTCCTCCGGCGATCTGTAAAAATACGGGGACTTTAATGTGTAGGTTTCCGTTCTGCTTCGTGGACACCTCAAGGCTGCCGCACGAAGGAAGGCAGAGAGGCCTAACGCTGCATGTTGCTCCGCGACGGCGATCGGCAGGCACGGACGGTTCCTGCCTGCGATTTTTGCGGAAAAGTTTCACTTCGCAGCGCGTCGCCTCTCTCACCGCCGAGGCGTGAGTCGTTTGACCGGGATTCGCGATAATTCGACAGCCTTCGTCGAGGCTCTTCTCGGGTTCCGAGAAGCAACGTAAATTTTCTTTTAGCGCTATACACGCTATACCGAAATAGGTCAGTTCTCTCGCGTATCTACACGTCACTCGCGCTCGATAGACTGGATTTATGAAATGTACATATCGAGAATTCCCATTTCAAATCGAGGATTACATGCACTACGTAAATCTTGGCGATAGCTTAGATTGCTGAGGAAAGGAAATAGGAGTAAAAAAAACTAAGGATGGGGGAATGGGGTTAGGATTTTAGGTAAATTATGAGAGATGATAACATGGAGAATGCGAAAGAAAAATATAAGAATAAAAATGGAAAATAAGTTTCAAAGTAAAGGGAGATAAAAACAAGGTATATAGATGTTCAGAAATAAAAGGGGCTGTAAGACAAGACATAACGTGGAAAGATATTGCAAACACACGACGTCTGAATGTTAGTTGTTAGATTTTGAGTGCCAAAAAATAGGAAGAATAGATGGATGTATGTGAATAAGAAAAAAATATAAACTAAGTCCCTTCTTTTGGCAGGTTGAAAGAAATAAATTAATATTTTATATTAATATAAATTCTATTCTATTCATTACGTAAATCTCGATCGACTGTCACAGAACGCTTTGATAAAAAATAAACGACATGTGAATTGAAGATTAAATCATATCTCCACTCACTGACGGAAGATTTTAGTAAAGGAGCTTTCGACACATTTTATTATCAATCTGTATTGATAATCGAGAACGAGTGGTACGCCTTGCGAAACGATTCTATTCTAACGTTTCATTCCTGATATCGTAATACGTCTGCGAAATTAGGGAGCTCTAACGGCATGAATCGAGGGATTATTTTACGAGAGAAGATTTCGATGTAATTCGACTGTACACTTCGCCGGGAAAGTTTGCGAATGCCCTCGACGGGATTAATCCTTCTTAACTCTCTGATACTACGCAGATAATTGGCTAAACTTAAACGAGTACAAAACGAGTGAGAAATGTTTCGATAATTTCCAAAGTGAGGATTCGCGAGGAATGAACGGCACTCCGCCGGATTGTCAGCCAATTGCCAATATTACCGAATTACGATTCGCAAACATAGGAAATGTACGATTTAAATTGTTGTCATGAAAACTTGTGTATATACTTACGAAGAAAATGAAGTTGAAGAAGCAGAGAAAGTATTTGGCGCACTGCGATATGCAACTCATTTTCGATGATTATTTCTCAACTGCACCTGTAACACAAATCCAAGACGTTCATTGATTACATCATATAGAATACTTCGAATCGAGTCACTTTTATTCATTTACGGATTCACTTGGATCAATTTGGAGTTGATTTTATTTTAACACAAACATCAAGAAAATGAGAAATTTCCAGGTTACTAATAACTAAGATTGAAGACTTTTTAGAAATTTTAAAGATGTCAAAAATGCCATGCAAATGCAAATTTCATTCTGTATTTAACTTCAAGTGATTTTCTTTTATTTTGATAAATTCTTTTTATAAATTATATAAAGATATTTAATGCGTAAGAAATCAACTAAATAAGTAAATAATGATCTCTTCCAGCTCTTTCAACTAGAATGAAACTTCAAATTGACTCAAGAACACTTGTGGATAAAAAGTGACTCATTAAGTTTAAAATGCAAATTCATATACGCTGCACAATTTAACAAAAGTTTAATTAAAAATTTATAGCAGCAAATAAAATATATCTTTACGTCAATATCATATTTTCGAAGTATAACGGAGAAGAGGAAGAAGAATGATAAGAAGAGTAATAAAAGTAAAGAATTCGCGCGCGAATTGTAACTGGAGCTCGTCACTAAAACGCGACTAATAATTTCGTGTGAAAAAAAAATGCGCGCTTAAGATGAAGCGTCGTACTTGAAGTGTGTGCCTCGATGCGAAGCTGATTTTGCGACAGATAAATGGCCGACGAGACTGATTAATTAATGTAGGCGAGCGTGCAAAAGCGAGCGTGTCGTCGCGCGCGACGTAGGCGGAAAACAAAGCGAGGAGAATTGTCCGAATTAGAGCAGGGAGGCTCGGTTGCCAATCAGCCTCAAGGATGTTATTTTCTTCGTTAGACGTTGACGCGCGCGGGATTAAAACAATTTCGGGCAATCTGACATCGCGACGCGTCCTTGACTGTTCCACGATAACGAGCGTGTAACTCCCTTTTGCAGGTCCAAGTCTCTCTCCGAGATTTCACGGTTCTTTTCACCTCGGCTCGACGGAGGAGGATCGTAATCGCGGGCAATATAGATATCGCTTATCGCCTGTTATTTCACGAGATGCTCGAGGTCGGAAATTAAAACGACAAACGACAATCTTCTGGATTCTATCTCAAGATATCCCCGTAGTATCTCCCTTTTCTTCTCCTCCAAGCGCACCAATCTATCTCGAGGATTGTTTCTATCATTACGACGTCATGACGTGCAATGTTGTTACATCGCTACATTCAATGAGATTTTCTTTTCTGTTTCTAGATTTTAAAGAGAGAGAGAGAGAGAGATGTCGGCCTTATTTCGGCGTCAATCACGATTCCACAAACGCGTCGCGATTATTATCGTTATTTCTATCGTTGTGCGCGTTATTCTCGCTTCATCTCCCCGATTCTACCCTTTTTACTACTACTATTATCTTCTTCTTATCCACTCCTTCGTTATTTATCTTACCACGTTCCGACACTTCTCTAATATCGTTTCCCCCTTTCTTCACGCAGTGATTTCTTGATTTATCACTGCGGGCTGGCACCCGCAATGAATTCCACGAATAAGCAAACGGTGCGAGTGAACGTCTTCATTTCGCGTCCGGTAAGTATTAGGGTCATCGAGAGAGCCACTTACGACTCTATACTTTGGGTTCGGTTTGTGCGCGCGGAGTCGAGCGAAGATCAGTAACGCGGAACCGCGGGAGAGGCTCGATCAAGCGACCCGATATCAAATATCCAGAGCACGGTTCTCGTTACTCTCTCTCTACGCTCCGAGAGACTCCGAGTTCGTCCCCCCTGTTCGTCGCGCGCGTCTCGCGTTTCCTCGACGCAGCAGCGGTATCGACTGCAAACTGCTGCTGCTGCTACTGCCGTTGCCGCCGCGCCGCCGCTACCGCCGCCGCAGCAGCAGCCGCCGCCGCCACCGCTGCTGCTGCTGGTGGTCCAGCGGGAGGATCCCGTGTAATTTCCGCGACCTCGCAATCCTCGATGCGATGAACGTGGCACGCTGCGAGGCACGTCGCAGCGACTCACGGATCCGTCAATGCGTGCGAAAAGAGGGACAGGAAGAGAGAGAGAGAGAGAGAGAGAGAGAAAAGAAACAAGTCCGCGAGATCTCGGAGAGCCGAGATCGCGGGAGAATCGAGAACGCGCGATTTTAGCTCCGGCGTGCCGCGCGCGCTGGGGCGCAGCTCCCGTTCCTGGAAATCGATGACTACCAGGGACGAAGTCGGACGCGTCCCTACGGCGCGCGTCCTGACGCGGGAACGAGTCAACGACACGCGGAAAATTGGATCAACCGATAGCGCGAGATGCTGGGGTTTCAGGTCAGTAGGTCGCCGCGCCGTGCGCTGCGCTGCGCGGGATCTGAGCCCGAGCCGTGCACGGAGGTTCTCTTTCCCTGTTTCTCTCCCGCGAACTGGGCTGCAACCGCAAAAACTTGCCTTCGCACGTCGACGACGGTACCGCACGGTATAAGCGCGAATGCAATCTCCCTTTACTCACGAGGATTTTTCTTGGCGCGGCCTCCCGATCTCCGCACGGTCAATATTTACGGCACCGAAAAAGCGAGAGAGAGAGAGATCATCGTATAAATTTCTCCCTGCAAAAATGTCGAAATAAATCAGATCTCTCGCACGAGCGCCCGCATGCGCCGAAATGCTCGCCCCCTTATATCCCGGTTGCCCTTCGGTAACAATTCGATCTATCGCGCGTGTCCCAGATTTCCAGTGAAAATGAACGCTATCCCTAATGTTATTTGAATCGATCAAGGCTTGCAGCTATTTATTAATTTACCGGAGAGAGTCCTCGGCACACATTTCATGAATCTATTCTGGCGAATACGAGTTACGATAATGCACCGAAGCAACTAATTTATCTCGGACACGCGGTATTACGAGAGAAAATACCATGTAACATTTTTTCGCTTCTGACGTCTTATCTTCTCTTTTCCCTTTTCGATTTCCGACTACAATGCGCCGCGATTTCCGTAACATTCAAAATTTCCGGAAAATATACATATATATAAATGAGCCTTTACACGTGTGCAAGTGGAAGAGAATCTGGCTATTTTAAAAGAAGCGGCATACACCGTGTATTATGCAGAATACGTCGCTCCTTTAACTCGAGAGTAGATTTTTACCTCTCTCTCCCAGCAGCGAGAAAATAAAGTTCAATCGCAGTTTCTTTACGATCGAGAATTCATATAATTTTTCCAATTTCTCCTTGCTTTTCATTGGGATGTAAAAATCCCCCCAGGTTGATCGTTTACGATATAAAACTATTCCCGGGTGATCAATCCCGGGTTAAAAGCGCAGGATGCGTCTCTCGCTACAGATGCATCTCCCGAGTTTAACCGGAATTCTCTCCCTTGGCGGTCTTTCACGTCCTCCTACTGGCTCTTTCGACAGGACAGCCGAAGATACAAGACGACGAATGCGGAACACCTATAGTGCATGTAATCACGCACGACAAACACGCGACGCACCGCGAATACCGCACGTGTTTAACATTTCGCTCCGCGCGCTACGCGCTCGCGAAACTACGTCGCGAGAGATCTCAAGGCGAACCTATCCCGCCCGTGTGCATGCTAATGCGACCATCAGTAATGGCGTTGCGGATACATTATAGTTGCAATTATATTATCGCGTGCACAAGCACGTCCCGACGGGCGCTGGAAAAATTCAGCGTTTCATTACGTTCCCGGGCAAACACGGCCTTGCCTCTCCTAGAATGTGCACAGGTTCGCGCTCGCTGCTCTAAACGCCGCGCACACATTCCGGACAAATCGGCTGCACGATCGTGGCGATAGAACGCAACGTGACGCGACGCGAATTCACGAGCGGCTCGCTGTTCGGCGGATCATCCTGAACGACACCGCGAGTCATCCTCACGAGAAGAAAGTGAATCTCGCGCGCGCGGCGAGTGAAAGTTCTACGAAAATAAATCATCCGCGGTGAGCGATGAGATCAATTTTCATCATCAGTCTCGTATTAGTATAAAAGTGAGATTTACACGGTATTTTTTTTTTTACTACAGCAATACTACCCAGGCGGAACAAAAAGTCATCGTGACATCAAAGTGGCGTTAAAATGTCTCTCTAAAATGATTATTAAAAGTCACTTTTCGATCAGTCACGATTAATTTTAACGTTATTTTGACATTATCGCGATGTACTGCTTGGATAGCTAGTCTTTTAACGCGCTAGTTGCTAATAAAAACAAAGCATCACATAAATCTTGCTTAACAGCTGAACTTTCAAAATTGGTGTCTCCTGCCGAGAGAAGACCCCGAGGACAAAAGGGAACACATCGCGTTAACTCTTTACGGTCGGCGAATTAAGTTCGACGAATGAATCGACCTCATAAATATTCTCTCTTGCTTCTCACTCCACGGGCATTATTATCGCGGCCCCATACGACGAACGGTTTTCGTTTCGCAGACACGTCCGTGTATAATAAGGAACGCTTCATTCGTTTTTCTCGTTGCTTTTCCACGCGCGGCGCCGTACGGTTCCCCCGTGAAAAAGCGGTTTCTCGCCGTTTATCTTCTGCGACCCTTGAAACACAGGCTGCACGGCCGTCCTCGGTCTTCAACCGAGAGCCAACGGTACATGTCGCGCGTGATGCGCGTTCATTCATGTGTTTCCGAGAGATTCGAAAAGCCTCTCTCGACGAGGCCGCCTGCCTAACGCGCTGTACTTTCACCAGCAACGAGCGCAACTACCTCGCCACGGCCTTTGAAACCGATAAAAATCACGCGGTTGCCCGATCGCAAGCACAATTTACGCAAGCGTCGAGGTAACCGAATATGGATTAAATGGGATATGCGTATATTATATATATATATATCTAAATTAATGCTACGCGCGAATTTAACGACGCGCGAAGGAACGACGAGAAAGTTGAAAATTAGTCACGTTCCTCGGTCGCGGGGGTGGAGGGAGGTCATACAGCGAGATCATCTAATTCATTATGTCTCACTTTCATATTCCATAATGCGATAAAAATCTTTGCAGCAAAAAAAAACAGCGGAGGATACAGGAGTATCTTTTGCAGAAACAGATCGCGACGATACCCCGTGTGTTTCGTCAAGCGTTCTCAAACGGTGAAAAATACGATTACAGCTATTATAGATCATGGTTTTATCAGTCCTTGGAACGCGCGCGTGCTCCGCAATGAAAACTGATCGAGATATCAATCGCGATAATGATGTTGGAGCTAAAAGAAGGATATTTATAGGGCCGATCCAATTCGTCGAGTTTAATTTCAAATTTAATCAGCTGTAAAGGGTAAGGCGACGCTCCCTTCGCCGCGCACCAGAGAGGCCCGGAAAACGCAGGCTTTGATCAAGAAATTCTCACGAATATTACGATATCGCGAGAGTGTGTGGGTGGAGAGTAAAGGAGTTGTACTCTCTGTTACAGCGCGCTGCCGCGCGCTCTCACGACACAATGACGGCGAATCATCGTGGCGTGTAATCAACACACGTACACATCACGCGATATCACGCTGCGCTTCACGTACGCGGCTTCACGTAACGCATCTTCGTAAATCAAGTATGTAAATCCTTTGTTCCATGAGATTCCCGGTGGTTTCCCGGTTGCGGCTGTATATATTAAATCGCGATATCGGAAACAGGAAAAGCATACAAATTCTTTCGTTGCGTTCGAGATTAGGTTTGGATTTTACACGTGCTCGACAAGCGAGATTCGCAAAATCCGTCCCAAAGATTCTCCTTTCGGATTTCATGAATTAACAAACAGTAACATACTCATTTCTGTACTTATTTCTGTAATATCGTAAACCAATCTGCCTTTAATTAACTATTTAAGAAATCGTAAATTGACATGGCGATTCGAGTTCTCACGATGTTTCATTCTGAATAAAATAGACGTCTCTCGAAGCAAGTCGTGGGATAGACTATATTTAATGCGATGCTAAAACGAAGATACCAACTTCGCTCACGGTCGTTGAAAACGTTTATAATGTATTCACCTTGTTACATCATAGATGATGTATCGGGAAACAGTGTATAACGATCAGGTATACGGCAGCGTAAAGTTATATCAATCGAAATAAGGATAGACGCTATGCATACGCGCGCGATATATAAAGAGGAATTGGATTGGACTTTTGTGGAATGTCACTTCAATCCTTTCTCACTATGGAAAATCAGCTTGAAAATATTTTTCGAAAATGTTTCCTCGGCAGCGGTCTTTTTCGGAGAACGAAGAAATAAAATTCCATATATTCAGATTAAACTGCAAATAAAATAAAAATAGAACATGACCTCGTTGCAGGTCGAAACGTATGCACGTATTATGCAACAAGCATTCCGAAAATCCAAAGATCGGGTCGGTCTTTTGTCGCTCATAAATATAATATAATAGGTACGCCTTATTGTAGAATTGAAATTCCCCCGTGTCATATTTAAATTTTAGATTTCTATTCTCTACGCGCTCCGTCGCGTGTCCCAGTGTGGGTAGATAAGCATCAGTCAACGTAGTGGAAAATATCACCATTTTGTCGTTTATCCGCGGGCGTATCGCGTTTACTTTCATACGTTCGCAATCGTTTCGTTATAATCGATCGTGTTTCGTATAATTGCCGCCGATCCGGACGAACGAAGCCCGTCGTGGTGGAAAAGGGCCGCATAAACGAACGAACGAACGAGCGAGCGAGCGAGCGGGATACTCGGCACACAGCTTCGACTACCCAATATAATAGCTTCCTGATTATTCCACGAGGCGCTCGGTTGATTTCCGTCGTGCGCGAACCGTAGTGCGAATTGCCTCACAGACCGATTAAGCCGACCGAGCGCAATGACATTTTTCACCCTGTAAAAGGCTGGAATAACGTACCGTTT